ACGAGGAGACAGGGAAGCGATTGGATAACACACACATTATACACACTACTCCCCCTTCAATGACCAAACCCTAAATCTATTCTATTTTTTCTCTGACCGCTTCTGTTACCTTTCGAGTGTTGTCGATATCTATGCCCGAATCTGGAAGCTCAATCTCTTGTGCAGTATCCGTTTTTAGCTTGTGGAAGCCATTGATGTGAAGCTCCGATAGCTTGTAAATCGATGTGTCTGCATCTCAATTGCTTAGGGGATTTTTTTGTTTTTTGTTAGGTATTAATCTTTTTAGTTTTCGGATCTTTTCTTCTAATCGGATCTTAGGTTGCCTAGTTTTGTTTTTTTTCTTGTCTTTAATTCGTGGAGATTAGGCAGATCTTTTGGCTTTTTGGCTCGTCTATCGAACCACTCTGGCCATGAGATGAGGTCTCGTTTCATTCAGAATGTGAGTTTGTTTTAGGATTCTTGAAAAAGTCAGGAACTTTGAATTTAGATGCGTTAATAGGTTATAGAGAGTGCTTAGAAGGTGTTAGTAATTAGAATTGGGAGCCATGTCGTTCAAGAGTCTAATTCAGGACATGAGAGGAGAGCTTGGGAGTATTTCTAGAAAGGGATTCGATGTGAGATTCGGGTATGGGAGATCGAGGTCTCAACGTGTGGTTCAGGATACTTGTGTTGTTCCTGTGGATGCTTTTAAGCAGAGCTGTTGGGCTAATATGCCTCCGGAGCTGCTCAGGGATGTTCTCATGAGGATTGAGAACTCCGAAGACAGTTGGCCCTCTAGGAAGAATGTTGTCTCTTGCGCAGGTGTTTGCAGGAACTGGCGAGAAATCGTTAAGGAGATCGTCAAAGTTCCTGAAGTTTCCAGCAAACTCACTTTTCCAATCTCCCTGAAACAGGTTGAGTATCCCATTCACATTCTCTCTTTACTTTATAACTGACTTGCGTGCTTCTTCACACACACACACTAATGTCTGCTGATCTTTCTGTTTTCAATATAGCCGGGTCCAAGGGGGTCACTTGTTCAATGCTATATCATGAGAAACCGAAGCAATCAGACTTACTACCTATACCTCGGGTTAAACCAAGGTGAAAGAAACAGATGCTTTGCTATTTTTTTTTTTTCTCTTCACATGCCTAATCTCTTTGTGAGTAACAGTGAAAAAGTTTGTATTTCTGATTCAGCAGCAGCTTCAAATGATGATGGAAAGTTCCTTCTTGCTGCAAAGAGGTTTCGGAGGCCAACTTGCACTGACTATATCATCTCCTTAAACTGTGATGATGTCTCCAGAGGAAGCAATACCTATATTGGAAAGCTAAGGTACTTACCGACAGCTTGAGCCCATGGATTAACTGCCTCCTTTTTCATGTTTTCGTCATATCCCTTCTCTTGTTGCACTTTCTTTCAGATCCAACTTTCTGGGGACCAAGTTCACTGTCTATGATGCTCAGCCGACAAATCCCGGAGCTCAGGTTACCAGAACCCGTTCAACCAGACTTCTCAGTTTGAAACAAGTGAGCCCGAGAATCCCATCTGGCAACTATCCTGTGGCACATATCTCATATGAGCTTAACGTCTTGGGTTCCAGGTGATTACATCCTTGCCTACAAATACTCCGTGAGAGAAAAGATCTATGCTTTTATGGCTTCTGCTAATTGTGAGCTTTGTTGTATCAAACCAGAGGACCGAGGAGGATGCAGTGTGTAATGGATGCCATCCCTGCATCAGCAGTACAACCTGGAGGAACAGCTCCAACTCAGACGGAACTTGTCCACAGCAATCTCGATAATTTCCCGTCGTTCTCCTTCTTTAGGTCGAAATCAATCCGCACAGAGAGTCTCCCTTCTTCGGGTCCATCGTCTGCTGCTCAGAAGGAAGGCTTGCTTGTCCTGAAGAACAAAGCGCCCAGATGGCACGAACAGCTCCAGTGCTGGTGCCTCAATTTCAATGGTAGAGTCACTGTTGCTTCCGTGAAAAACTTTCAGCTCGTAGCTGCACCTGAGAACGGACCTGCAGGACCCGAGCACGAAAACGTGATTCTACAGTTTGGGAAAGTGGGCAAAGATGTTTTCACAATGGATTACCAATACCCAATCTCTGCCTTCCAGGCGTTCACCATTTGCCTTAGCAGCTTCGACACCAAGATAGCATGTGAATGATTCCAACCAACCTGAGCAACTATGCTCTTCACCGTAAGAATCAATGTTTATTTAGTTGTATCATGTTGACAGAGAAGATTGCTTTTGCCTCATCGTCTAAGAAGCGTGTGTACATAGTTTCAAAAGTGTTTGGCGAGTCTATAGAAAGAGAGACTCAAGAATCGAAGACACTAGATTGTATTTGTTGTTGTTGGGTTCTGTTGCTAGTAATTGTAGTTCCAGACTATGTTTTCACCTCTCTGACAATTAATTTGATCCTTTTTGGTATTCTTTGAGGATATCATGAGACAAAGCAGAAACTCAGAATCATATATATGAGTGTGTTCTGAAAAAGTTAAATTTTCATTTTCATCGTTTACAAAGATTTTATTTATCAGTTGAGCTTTTTGAAACAGAAGCAAATTTCATGCGATGACTCCGGCCATCAATAATACTGAGGAAGAAGCGGCGGTGCTTGTAGCGGAGGGCCCCCAAAGCAATCTCGTAGCAGCCAGCAACAGCACAGACAAGATAGACTGCAAGATTCCACATACATATTATAAACAACATCTCTACACATAACAACAAAAGAAGAACCAGAAAAATGTCATTACCAGGAACATATCATGTCTGAAAATCCAGCAAAGAAACCACCGATGGGTGGCAAGAACCCTGGTCCCCAA